CCCGCTCCCGGGCCGCGCTCCCGCTCCCGGGCCGCGCTCCTCCCGCTCCCGCTCCCGCTCCCGGGCCGCGCTCCCGCTCCCGGGCCGCGCTCCCGCGCCGCCGCTCCTGCCGCGCGCCGCCCTTACCCGTCGGGCGAGTACTCGAGGTTGAAGACGGCGCCGTGCGTGCGCGTGCTGAGGTGCACGGAGTCGGCGGGCTGGATGGAGCTGTAGAGCCCCGTCATGGCGCGGAAGGTGTCGCGGGCCGGCTCCACCGCGCCGCGCCGGCCCACGCAGCGCGCGCGCACCCACCGGAACAGGCCGCCGCCGCCGCCGCCCTCCGCCGCCCTGGGCGCGGCCCCGCGCGACGCCTCCATGGCGGCAGGCGCCAGCGCCGCGGCGACCGCCCCGCCTCGGCCGCCGATCTTCCTCGAGGTGGCCTCTCCTTATTGTTCGCCGCCCACGTGACCGCGCCGCCGCCCACGTGACCGCCCCGCGCGCCCGCCGCCGCCCACGTGACCAGCTACCCCCGCGCCCGCGCGACCAGTTCCGCCTCCCTCCACGTGACCCACGAGCGGCCGCGACCCCCCCGCCCCGCGGCAGTCACGTGACGGCGGCCGCGCGTGACCCGCCCCAAACGCGCGTTTTTTGAGGGACAAACGGGGCCGCGGACCCGCCTCCCCCTCTCCCCCCCGAGCAGCCGAGAGCGGGGGTCACCCACGCAATTCCCGCCGCTCCGGAACTGCACGCGTGGCAGCCTTCTGCAACACCTCGTTTATATTACATATATGTTATATATATACATTGACCCACTTAAAAGGCTTTGTGAGGCTGCAATTACTGTGTGGCAGCTGCTCTGCAAGCCTTGGCAGGCACTCGAATTGCCATCCAGTCAAAAGAGCCCTCCGGGGAAAAGAACTGGGAGTCGCCTCTGGTGGTCAGAATCTGGTATTAATGCTTAAAAACAACCAGAAACGGGCACGCGAGCTCAGGGGAGAGCTCGACCGAGCCCTCGCAGAGGCGCAGCGCCCCAGCGCACCTCAGGCCTGCTCGCTTTTCCCTTTCTCCTTCTCTTCGCGGGGCGTGCGGCCCATGGTGTAGAACTCGGCGTTGGGGCGCAGGTCGATGTAGTGGGCGATGCGGTTGGACATGGCGAAGAAGGCGGCGATCATGCCGATGTCCCAGGCGTCCTCGCGGTCGAAGCCGTGCGCCTCCAGCCGCTCGAAGTGCTCCTCGGTGATGTTGTCGGCGCGGCACACCGCCAGCGCGAACTCCAGCATGGCCAGCTCCCGGCCGCTCAGCTCCGCCAGCTTCCAGTTCACGATGACCTGTGGGAAGCCAGAAACCAGGGTGGTGGGAGAGGCACGGATGGGGGCAGCAAGCCGTGGTGATGTGGCCGAACGCCCTCCTGTCTCCACGAGGCGGAAAGGCGGCAGCGTGTGGCCCCTTTCACCCACTGCTCAAGCAGACACCATGACACAGAAGGGCCGCTTCACTGTCCCTCTCCTACGGCAGCAGGTTCCTGCACAAACACAGGGCCGAAGCAGAGAGGGAACCTGTTCAGCTTGTGGGCAACAGGTTGAACACTCTGCAAAGCGACTGACATCCCTACGTATTTGTTGGAGGGTGGATGCGATGCACAGACCCCCTTTCCTCAACACCTTCCCCAGGGCTAAAGCCAAAATGCAGGCTGGCTTGTGAACATAGTCTCAGTATTCAGTCATGCAATTCAGGCTTGTTACGGTAGCGGCATCAGGACAAAGTACTTCCTTGTTGTGCAGGTGGTCTAACTGCTCGCCAATAAGCCGTAAARGAATTAGGGTATTGCCTTAGGGCCCCAGTCATGTCTGGAAGCTTTCCCCTGCCTGTGCTAGGAAMCACAAACCATCAAAATTTGGGGTGAAGAAGCAAGCAAACATATAAGAGAAGGGCATTCCTGCCTTCCAGAAGAAGAATCCTCAAAGCAGTTGTAGCTCATGTCACTGCCACAACACTGACCTGATCGGCCAGTGCTGGCTGCTTGGAATATATCCGATGAAGAGCTCCATGTGCCACCACGCAGTAGGGACATCTGTTCACAACACTTGTGGCCACAATTATGAGCTCTTTGTCTGCCTTGCTGAGCCGACCTGCAGGGAGAGGAGAAGGTTTCGCACACTTTGTTATTAAAAAGTACCCCTTGGTGCAARAGTCACTGGGGAGACAATCAGGGCTCTGATACCAGCTGCTCAGCAGAACAGCCCGGAGGACGTAAGTCCAAGGAGTGCGCAGGGACCTTCTGGACAACCGTGCAAGAGACCAGTACAACTGTTTAATTTGGTCATTAGTATAAAGAACTTATGAGCAGGTCAACAAGAGGTCCACCTAACTTGAGACCTTAGAAACAAAAATACGAGCACAGCAAGCAGGAAGTTTGACGGGTACCTCTCTGCCGAAAGCCCAGAGCCACAGAGGAGGTCACAGCCTGTTCTTTGCATGGTTCCTTTGTCAATGTGGCTTTTACAGAGAACAGCCATACTGTAAAACGTGCCAAGCAGGTTTCAAAAAGGGAACATTAACTAKTACTTTCTGACACGTGAAGCAGTGACAAACAGGAGCAATGACTTGCCACAGAGGCTGTGGCCTCAGCCCTCTCATAGCCAAAAATACAGCGCAGCAGCCATGGCTGTGCCTGGCCCTGCTCATCTGCAACAGGAGCTGGGCCTGTCTTGGACCAGCTTTGTCTTGCCTGGCTGGCTTGCTCTTGGCTGCACCATGCCTACTGTGTCCTCCTTTCTTGGGTAACATGGGACTCCACCTCTGCCACTGAAACCATTGGCCATGCCTGCTCTTTTACCATCTTTAACCCCTGGCTTGTGGTCTCAAATGCAAGTCAGCCTCTGCTTTGGCCATTTTAATCCCAGGCTAAAAGGGCTGAAGATCCAATGCATGCATGTAGAAGGCAGAAGGTATAAACCAGATCTGGTCTCTGCCATATGCTCCACTGAGCTGAGATAAAGCATATTGAGGGAATGCAATGTATGATGCCAGGGATGTCGCTTACATCATTTTTTTTTTTCACATCTATGGAGCAAGTGGCAKTTTCAAGGTACAAGGCTTACCCGTGTCTTTGTTCATAATGGCATTGTAATAAGCGAAGAATGCTCTGAATTCAGCAGGCCGGTGAGACATGGCTTTGAACACATTAGGCAAAAATCCAGTCTGTTCAAAGAAAAAGGTAAGTCAAGAACTCTAATTGTTAATGCACAGTGCAGCAGGCAACATTAAAGTGTGAAGCTTAGGGAAAAAACAGTTAGCGTGGCAGCCCTGGAGAATCTCCACACTAATTCTCTCAGTCTCTACTGAGCCCATTTATAAATACAACTATCAGTGAAATGATATGGTTCCTAATTAGGTATTTCCGTGTTTTCATAGAATGAAATCTCCCTTGCGGATCTTCTTTCTCACAATTATATTCCACAGTCATATTCCCCCTYAAAGCCACTCTCTTCCAAAGTGAGCAATTATCACCTATTTTTCACCTGCTATGTCCATCTGACCATCCCAGACCTTCTCAAATTCTCCCTCTCCCTACAAGACTACAGGACGAAAGAGAGGGCCAGCATAARCCTATATAATTTGAGGTACAGTTGTACCATGCAATTATGCGTTGGTTCAAAGATGGGGTTCTTCACTCTTTGTTCTCTCCCTGATGCTCAGTTCTTATCTTGGATGATGCACTAAGCTGCCGTTCCCCGAAACCTGCTGTCTCTCCCAAGCAAGATCCACTAACAGTGAATTAATGTGTGTCCGGGTCCTTCTGCTCCACATTTACCAGCACAGGATTGCAGGTACTGATGGCCAAACACTGGGCAGTCCCACAGCAGTTTTACTCAATCGGTGCACTGGCAATCTCCCTCCACTGTCACACAGCTGACTGTGCATTCCTCCTACCCCACGCATCTGCTTGTTGTTATTTAACTGAAGGGAGGGTCTTCCCTCTTAAATCATGACTGATTAATCTCTTCAGGAGACTTTGGCCACAGAAGTTGGCAGCATTCTCTGGAAATCTTAAATCTCTTTGGATTCTAYGTCTTGGTCTTTGCTGAGCCCTTTAATGCACTGCCAGAGAGCAGTGTGCATCACAGTGTATAAAAGTTGTGCTGGACTAACCCGTGAGTCTCCTGACTCCTTTTGTCATTGCACAAATTCCACTGAGATTACTGCAACTCTGGTAGAGCAAAGATAAACTGGCATGAACTATAGGGGTAGAAGGACCACACATTCCAGTCAGACTAAACGGGAGCAGAATCTTACCATGTGTAACACATGAACACCCTGGGACCTTTCTGCTGAGTGCTGAGAGGATTTTTCAGCAGAACACTTTTACCTTCATCTCCACTTCCTCCATGAGCTCCACAATATCATATGGCATATCCTTCTTATTGGGTACAGGGTACCGGCCAATTGGCCTTGCAGAGCCCTCTTCCTTGGTGCTGTATGCATGGGTCAGGGCTGCCACATGGGGCCTTCTCTGTCGTCCCGCTGACAGAAGGCGATGCAGGTGCTGGTGGGAAAGGAGGGAGGAAAACGGATCAGTGCGTAGGACAGGTTACCGTTAGGAGGTTACTATTTCCCACCCACCCTTGCCAGAACTCAYAGGCATCTCCACCAAGCAGTGCTCTGAGATATCTCCTAGGTATAAAAGCTTTTCCAGCTGCTCTTCGACAGAGCAATGTTACCTAAACATCAAACAGTTGCCACGGGGATTTCCTTTAGTATGGATAACTCTAGGAATAGATTGAGGTCTGGATTTTTCAGCCTTCTTTGAGGGAAAGCAGCTTGCCTTCCTGGAGTATAATAATAGTATATTATATATATATATAATATATAGCATAATATAGTGTATATATATATATATATATAGTTGAAACCTGAATGGTGTCAGATTTACATCTTTCCGTATCCTCAAGTAAACTGTATTCCTATACCGGAGCAACTGGAAAGCGTTTGGTACTGACAAGATCCTCTTAAGAATCTCTGTAATGCTGTGCTATTGCAATACAGATAGAACAAGAGGAAATGGCCCCCAAGTTGAGCTAGGGAGGTTCATGTTAGACATTCGGGAGAATTTCTAGATGTAAAGAGTGCTGCAGCACTGGAAGAGGCTTCCCAGGGAAGTGGTGGAGTCTCCATCCCTGGCAGTGCTCCAGAAATGTGCAGATGAAGCCCTCAGGTACATGGTTTAGCCAGATGGTTTTGAGGGGCTTAGAGTTGGCTTAGTGATCTTGAAGGTCTTTCCAACCATAATGATTCTGTGGTTCTATGATTCAGCTGTTTCAGAAAATGCTTTTCAAAAACCAGCTTCATCTTACTGATGGGAAGCTGGGTCTGAACGGCGAAGCGACTCACACCAGATCACTCATAGAYCATCAGTGTAGAAATAGGAACAGAATCCTCATGTCCCACCTTCCTGCTCAGRCGCTATCACATTCCTCCTGTGCTGTCTGGTACACAGCACAAGAACCTTCAGTTTTGACAGGATCACTGCATTGTCCTCAAACACACCATGATCACGGAGAAAAGCACTAGCTTTCCCCACACTTTTCATATTRACATTAAACCAGTGGTTTTGAGCATCAMAGAATCACAGAATCACAAAATGTTCAAGGTTGGCAGGGATCTCTAGAGATCATCTAGTCCAACCTTCCTGCTCCAGCAGGGACACCCAGAGCACAGGATASCTGGTTGCATCCAGGCAGGTTTTGAAGACCTCCAGAGAAGGAGACTCCACAGCCTCCCTGGGCAGCCTGTGCCAGGGCTCTGTCACCTTCACAGGAAAGAAGTTCTTCCTCACATGGAGATGGAACTGCCTGTAAGTTCTTCCTGGAACTTCAATTTGATTTGAGATCCATTCAGATATCCTAATCTGCTGCTATAGTACATATGAAAAAAACAATGATAGCTGTGAAAGAAACACATGTTTGCTGCTAAGAGGAAGGAAGACACTTAAGTATGTGCAACCTTCACAAAATGACCAGAAAAACACTGCAGCAGATATCAACTGTAAAACCAGCTGAGAAATGAAATTTCTGAGAATAAGCATAATGTTGATTTTAAGAATTGACTTCGGGGTTGACCTGCTGGAAAGCAGCTCCATGGAGAGGGACCTGGGAGTCCTGGTTGACACCAAGTTAACCATGAGTCAGCAGTGCCCTCGTGGCCAAGGTGGCCAATGGGATCCTGGCCTGCACCAGGAGGATGTTGCCAGCAGGTCAAGGGAGATGATCCTGCCCCTCTGCTCAGCTCTGGTGAAACCGCAGCTGGAGCATTGGGGGCAGTTCTGGGCTCCCYGGGACCAGAGGGATGTGCAGCTTCTAGAGTGGGTCCAATGGAGAGCAACAAAGATGATGAAGGGACTGGAGTATCTTTCCAGTCCCTGGAGAAGAGAAGGTTGAGAGAGGATCTAATCAAGCACCTCAGGGAAAAACGAAGGAGGAGGGGGCCAAACTCTTCTCAGTGGTGACCTGTGACAGGACAACGGGTCCAAGTTGAAACCCAGGCAGTTCCATCTCCATGCGAGGAGGAACTTCTTCACTGTGAGGATGACAGAGCCCTGGCACAGGCTGCCCAGGYCGGTTGTGGAGTCTCCTCCTCTGGAGGTCTTCAAAACCCGCCTGGATGCCGCCCTGTGCCATGTTCTCCAGGTGTCCCTGCTGGAGGAGGGGGTTGGACTAGATGATCTCTAGAGGTCCCTTCCAACCTCAAACATTCTGGGATTCTGTGAGACTTCTTAGTCACCAAAAGCAAGGATTCCATAACATAAAGACCTATTGCACATGCTGTTCAAAATCAAAGCAAATTTGAGTAAGCATAAATACAAAAACACTTAGTTTTCTCTCTAACATGGTCAGGAAAGCAATTGTCCTAGATAGAGAGGGGACGCAGGGTGTGTGCAACAATGCAGAGACAGCCTGCTGAGGGGGTCGGTAGGCAAACAACTGGCAAATTGCTGTTTGTTTACAATGACTTTTAACAACATGAGAAGATGTTCAATRTAAATAGTTATCTGAAGAAGTCCATCAATATTCAAAATACTGCAACCTACAGTAATGACACAACGAGTGTTTCCTTTTTCCACTTGTTTATGGGAGACCAGCCAGAGCAGATCAGCTCACTGCTCTTAAATTCTTGGTCATGCAGCTGTTTCAAATCCTGACTAACTGCATGATTTAAATTACTTGCTTAAGGAGTGGAAAGAGCGGGGCCGGTTAAGATGAGTGGAAGACAACGTACACCACGTGTAACTTGCAGCTGCACAAGTGGTCATTGAGCAAGCAGCCATGGAAGACCGTTTCTCTGGAATGTTTGCTTATATCAAAGTACATTGTGACAAAGGAACGCAGCCTGCCAGGCTTCCCTTTGGAAGAGCTCTCGGCAGAGGAGGCGCCCGAGCTGCCGCAGCGCGGGCACCGCCGCCGCTCCGGCCCGCGTCC